TTTGTGTTTAGTTTCTGTGGGCTATAGTTTGAGTGCCAATCTCTGGATCTGTCTGAAATGTCAAATATTTGCCCTATCTATATGGCTCAATTTTACAAAGAACTTATTGAGCTGAAAGTCATGAAGAAAACATGATATTCCAAGAGTTCTGGAGATTACTATGTGAAGCTGGAAGTCTGGAAGTTTCTCACGTGTCCATATACTTGACAGTGTTGGGGGTACCTGACTCCATGAAAGGAAAACCTCTAAAGTGATGCCAGCAACCACCATCAGTGAATTTAACTGTAATTCCCAGGACCTCCTATAGTGTCATATTTTCAGATACTATCGAGAAACTGCTCTCACCTGTTTTCCTGGTTTAAATCTAGCAAGTATAGAATGTTTTCTGCTTCATAGACCTGTATTACGGATCCATTGTAAAATGTATACTAGATTAATGAAAAGCCTCATGTAGAATGAGTACTTATAATTATATGTGTGTATGCATTAGTCTTCTATTATTGTGTAACAAATTACCATAAAATCAGTGGCTTAAAACAATACAAATGTGTATCACCTTACAGTTTTTAGGACAGTTCCCCTTGCTCAGCCACACTGCGCTTCACTTTTGAGTTCAGGGTCCTCTCACCAGCTCCTTTAGGTGGTTGGTAGAATTCATTTCCTTGCAGTTGTAGAACTGAGGTCCCCATTATCTCACTAACTGTTGGCTAGAGACTTCTCTTAGCTCCTAGAGGCCTCCCACAATTCCTTGTCTGTGGTCCCCATAGGCACTTCCCAACATGGATGATTGCTTTCTTCCAGGCCAGCATCAGTGTGTCTGACTTCCAGCCCGTCTCCAGTCAGCTACCAGAAAACCAAACTATTTGTCATCGAGTCGATTCTGACTCATGGCGACCCCATGACATGTAGCAGTTGCTGAGTAAGTGTTGAAGATAAGTAAAGAAAACCAGCTTAAGGAAATGAGAATTTAGCATATGGAACACATACTAAAGTTGGGATCTGATTCCAATTAATGAGTATTGATGGAATTTTAATCTTATGGGTTGCTTAGCAACCCAAACTAACCCAATACCACAACCTACCAGAGTTGTTGTTAAATCAAATCAGTAATTAAACTGCTCTTAAGGAGTTCAAGTTTGTAAGAAGACAAAAGGATTCCCCTATAAATTTGGAGTTGTGCCAGACACTTTAAAAAAGTGATGGTCCAACTCCTTAGTGTCTTTGTGCTGAACTATCTTGGTGGTTGGATCCTCCCTACTTCCGTGCCTCTAGGTGACAGAAGATGGTTAAAACATCCGTTAAATTGGGTAGAAGGTGGCAGTGGAAAAGGCAGAGTGCTTGCACCTCCATATTAATGGATTCAATTAACGTTCAGTGAGTGCCAGGGGTCAGGAATACAAAAACAGTTGTCTTTGCTCCTGCTGCCTTTAAACATTTCAGCGTCTAAGAAATGAAGTCAGTCAATGTTGAATAATAATACAATGTTGAATAATAAAAATTATTTCATGAGTGGCTTTCTATGTCCTAGGCACTATTCTAAGCATTATAAATTGACCAGTACAAGTAGATGGACACCAAAGGAAAAAAAAAAAAAAACCGTTGCCATTGAGTCAATTCCGACTCATAGCGACCCTATAGGGCAGAGTAGAACTGCCCCATAGGGTTTCCAAGGAGCACCTGGTTGATTTGAACTGCCAACCTTTTGGCTAGCAGCTGTAGCTCTTAACCACTGCGCCACCAGGGTTTCCTGTAGATGGACACAGCAGGTCTTAAATATCCACTGTTAGGAGTTTTATTTTCTTGGCAAACCAGTCCTGGCAGAATATCCCACTTTGGTCTCCCAACATATTCATATCTGATTCGCAGCCTTGAAAGGCAGCAGAGCTGCTGGAGAGGAAACAAAGCTGGGCACAGGAGGACTTGAGTTCCCACACCGCTGCTGTGACTTACCGCCTCTTCAACCTGAAGCAAGTGACTTCAATCTGTGCCCTGTTTTTCTCATTTGTAAGCTGGGCATGATAATTTAGATTCTGCCTTCCTCATGGTGGAGCGCTGATGGCACAGTGGTTAAGAGCTTGGCTGCTAACCAAAAAGTCAGCAGTTCATAATCCATCAGCCACTCCTTGGAAACCCTATGGAGCAGTTCTACCCTGTCCCATAGGGTGGCTGTGAGTTGGCATCAACTCGACAGCAACGATTTGGTTTTTGTTTTGTTTTGTTTCCTTCTTTGCAACGAGTGCAATGCAATGAGATAATAAATGTAAAAGTTCCAACAGATAGATGGAATTTCTGAGTAAATCTTTTTCAGTTTGCCACCAGGTTTATATCATATTTCATTGAACATATTTGCATCTTCTTTCACTTTTCCTTATTCTTCTATAACTCAGAATCTTAGTACTTAAAGGGAGAAAAGAGGGGAGCTTGGAACTACTGTATTTATTTGCACTTACTTATTGACTCCATCATTTGTATCGCCATGTGCCAAGTCCTTTTGCAGGGAAGATCACCTTTATTGTTTAAGGAAGAAATCCATCGTGCCACTTTGGCACTTTGGCAATTATTTACCCAAAAACATGACTTGGGGCCTACAGGCATTTAAGCAGGCAGCTGGTTGATGAATCATGCTCCACATTCATATAGTGCTGCTGGCACATAGCAGAGGGACACTCATGCTCGTCACCTGCCCCTGTCAGTTCTTCCTCTTCTAATAAAGTACATCTGTTTTGGTGACTGAATAAAAACACACCAAGTGGAAAAGGGCTTGGTGTGGAGTAATTTAATCAGGGTCAGCCAATGTGTTGCGTTGAGTAATAGTATCAAAGATAGGAAGATGGTGTGGTAGCAGCTTATTGAAACAGAAGCAGACTGGAGTGGGCCGGAAGCACAGTTCTTATAATCAGATTGGGTCACACTCCTGGAATGTAGGGGCCTCTTAATGTCCCCTGAATCAAGATTGTAAGGGGCTAAGACTGCCATAACATGCCTTCTGAAATACCACAAGTGTTTCACACGCCCTTTCCCTATTACATCGTTTTAACATTTTGTTGAGGATTATAAATTTTTAAGGAAGTTCAAACCAAAGTTCAGAGCTCTTCTAGAAGTGTTTTTTTCCCCGCGTTGGCTTTAGCAGCTATGTTTGAATCCCTCTTGAGGGATTGATTAATTTAAAATACCCGAATTTGAAAAATTAAACAGCAGGGAGACTGACATTTGCAGTCTGGTAGTTCATAGTTCTCCCTTCTCATTGGGTTTTTCTCTTTTTTTTCTCCTTTGTTGTGACTATCCAGTTGTATAGGATTTTGTATTTTGTTTGAAAGGGGAGAAACTGAATACATTCAAGTGCCAGTCTGCCTTGAATCTCATAATCTCAGAATGATTTTGGGGGAGAGTAATTGAGGGTATGCAGAATGTTTGAAATGTATTTGAAAACAAGGTAAGTAAAAATAACAATGTGACTGTAAGTTGTGGGTCAGAGGTTTGTGTGCGTGTCTGTTTTTCTCTTTTTTAATGAGTTCACTAGCAATGCTCTTACAGTCTTTACTTGCTGGAAAAGGAATTACTATTCAAGATGAAAAATCAGGAACTTCAACAACAGTAGTTGGGATTACACTGTTGTCTTTTTTATTCCAACAAAGTCATTTTCACCTCTGTATGTGTATTTTTTTCTATGGGATAAGATCTGTGATATCTGATACTTTATCAACAGGTGTCCTGGAAATAATCTATTTCAAGAATAAATCACTAAATATAGCATGAAAGTTATGAATGTATTGTGGTTAAAAAATACTAACCTAATGAATACTTCATTTGAAACTATTTATTTTTAAGAAACCTGGTGGTAAATGATACATATTCTACAGCTCTGTCATCATGGTTCATTCTCTCCTGGCTCAGATCACATATTAGCATTTTTACCATATGGCTGAAAGGGTAGAGAATATATGTGCAGAAGAACAGAGTTGGTAACATTTTTCGATCATCTGGTAAATTAATGTGTAAGTAGCAGGGATGTTAATATTATTTACTTAGTTATATGGATGCAACCTTTAACCTGGAATAACCTTTAATGCAGTAAAGTGGTACTGAATTTACATTTCTCAAAAAAATTCAGTCTAATTCATGAAACATTTTCACAGCCTACTATGCACTCTTGAAATCTGACTCCTAGGTATGTGTTTCCTATGTTTATTGATTTATTATGACTCTTTAAAGTTCCTAAAAGGACATCACGTTTAGTAAAGTAGAGGGTCAATGAAAACAAGGGAAACCATCAATGAGGTGAACTGACACAATAGCCACAAGAACAGACTCAAACATACCAACAATCATGAAGATGGTACAGGACAGGGCAATGTTTTGTTCTGTTATGCATAAGATTGCCATGAGTCGGAGCCAACTCCACAGCAAAACAACAACCAAAGTGCCTTATTAAAAAAAAATCTTTTGTGAGAGGCCACATGATTCGATCCAGCATACGGTCACAAGTGCTGAAATTCTGCTCTGCCACCAACCACTGTGTGGCCTGGGATAAATTACTTAGCCTCTCAGAGCCTCAAATTCTTTATCTGTAAAGAGTGAATAACATATTGTCAGACAGTATCTGCCATAGAGTGGGCCATGGATTGATACATTCAGTAGATCTGAAAATAGTCTCTAAGAGTCTGCATTTTCCGTCACTATCCCAAGTGATTCTTAGATATACTGAACTCCTGTTATGGAGACCATCTGATTATAGCAGCTTTCTTGGAAAATATCTAGCTAATTCTTCTAAATACTAACATCTCTGTAAGTAATTTATTATTATTATTATTATTATTATGAATACTCTAAGATACACTTTTTATATCATACAAATTGAATTAACACTTGACAGCATTTGTGCTTAAAATGTTCTAACTTCATAGAAAATAGGATGTCAACTTTCATAAATAATAATGTTGATTCTATTCTCCTTCTTGCTTAATTAGGTGCTTTATTTATTTATTTATTCTTTTTTACAGAAAACAGCAAAATATTCACTGAATAGACCTAAATCTGGAGTCCAAATGAACTTAAAGAACTTTGCATGGAATTCTTTTTCAAGGTCTGTACGCACTAAACCCTTAATCACCGCAACTCCAGTGCCCAGGCTTTCTCTGGCTTTGTGAAGACTGAGCAAAACTCTGATGATGAAGAAGCAAAGAACTTAATTTCTTGCTTAAATATCACCAAAAGTCAACTGAAAAGTGAGCCAGCCATGGAAACAAATTCAAGTTTATGGAAGAACCTACTAGATGGACACCCAGTCTGCACCACCTGGAAGCAAGAGGCCGAAGGGGCAATTTATCATCTTGCCAGTATTTTATTTGTAGTAGGTTTCATGGGCGGAAGTGGATTCTTCGGGCTCCTTTATGTCTTCAGTTTGCTGGGGTTGGGTTTTCTCTGCTCTGCTGTCTGGGCTTGGGTAGATGTCTGTGCAGCTGACATATTTTCCTGGAATTTTATACTGTTTGTCATCTGCTTCATGCAATTTGTTCATATTGCATATCAAGTCCGCAGCATAACCTTTGCCCGAGAATTCCAGGTGTTGTACAGCTCCCTTTTCCAGCCTCTGGGAATCACTTTGCCTGTCTTCAGAACCATTGCTTTGAGCTCTGAAGTGGTAACTTTGGAAAAGGAGCACTGTTATGCCATGCAGGGGAAAACGTCCATTGATAAACTCTCCCTGCTTGTTTCAGGAAGGTTTGTACTCTTGGTGCTTGCGTTTTCTATCCTCTACAATAATTTGCATTTCTTTCTGCTATATTTTTCCATCTTGGTGTAGCATAGTCTTGGGTGGCATTTAGCACCCTGAGGCTTGAGAATGCCTTTGACATATGAGTCATGGACATAGTCATTTACAGTACACGGTTTGTTTACTTGAAGCTGGAAACAATCTAGAACCTATTTCTTCTTAGAAATCAAATGACGTGGGTCTTAAAGTATGAATTTGTTTACTATCTGGGTACACTGTTTATTTCCAGACTAATCACTGGAAGTCAAAAAGAGTATGATGCCAGCTTGAATTAATAGACTACTTAAGTTGGCATGTTTGAAAGAGCATTCTTTTAATAAAGAAAATTAAACATTTGTAATTTTCTTTTCAGTATATTCTAGTACTTTTCCACTGCTACAAGTGTGGGGCGGGGGGCACTTCAAGAATATATATAAAAGCCTAAACTTTGAAAACATAAAGTTTGGGGGATGAAAAAATAATGTGATTTCTCCTGCTTAAACTACAGATTAAATATTTAGTTTACAGAGGTATTTACAGTGGAAGTCCTTTATGTTCTTAAATGTTCTACTTAATTTACAATCTGATAAAGTGTTTTGAACCTTTCTATTGAAGTATAATATATACATGTGTATGTGTATATATATATGTGTGTGTGTGTACATATCATAAATGTACAGTTTGATGAATTTTCTGATGAATTTTGCCCAATACTTCCAGAGTCGTGTCTAAGGAACACTAGTACATGGATCTTAGAGGATGTTATATCATTTTTTGTAATGTATGAATTTAAATTTTTTTCCCTTCAAAAGTCTAAAAGGCAAGAAAAAAAATCTACAAGGCAAAAAGGTCATCAGAGATCTGAAATACCACCCCCCGCCCAAATTATGTGCTGTCTTTCTTCTTCTCTCAAAAAATGATGTTTTTTGTGTTTTGCTAGGATCAGAGTGACAGTTGATGGCGAATTTCTGCATTACATTTTCCCCTTTCAGTTCCTGGATTCTCCTGAGTGGGATTCACTGAGACCCACAGAGGAAGGCATTTTTCAGGTAAAGGATAGCTAGACCACGCAGTTGAGGCTCTGCCTTCCAAACAGATTAAAGTGTTTGTTTAAAAACAAACAAACCAAATAGCAGATGATTCAAAAATAATTTATATTTAATTTTGGAATGTACTCTGCAGCATGATGTCCCAGTTCTGTTTGACTCCTGTTGATTAATGTCACTTTATAGGTCCAGCAATGAGGGGAAGAACGGTATTGTTAAGTGACAGAAAGAGGGCCGTGAGAAATAGTCTTAAGATTGCTTCTGTATAACTGGATATTTGAGAATTAAAATATAATTGAGAGTTGACTGTAAGCTAAACACTGCCAGTGTGACAGTTTAGAAATACACCTAGAACAAAACATTTGCACTTATTGCAAAATCGGTGATTTTTAAAATTTTAAATGCTGATGGATTTCAGTTGTTTTCTAGCAACAAAATGTTAAACTTACTCTCGCTACAGTGCAGCCATATATGGTGGTTCTGAAAGATAATCATTTCAGTAGGTTCCATTTATTAGTGTACTATTTTCCTATTAATATATATAATGTGTGTGTGTATAGAAATACGTATATAAAACAGGCATATAAATACTGCTTTGTATTACAGAAATTGAGTTAGGGTTAAAAATGCAGTCTCCAGGACTGACTTGGAAATTCTTCTCTAACATTAGCCAATTTTATTTTATTTTTAAATATCAAGTAGCTCTCACTTGAATGGAACCCTGGTGGCACAGTAGTTAAGAGCTTGGCTGCTAACCAAAAGGTCGGCAGTTCAAATCCACCAGCCGCTCCTTGGAAACCCTGTGGGGCAGTACTACTCTGTCTTAGAGGGTTGCTATGAGTCAGAATCAACTTTATGGCAATGGGTTGGTTTTTTGGTTTTCTCACTTGAATAACATGCAAATCATATACCCAATCTTTAGAGAACAGAAAAATTGGAGATGGGAACAATATTGTGATTAATCATGTTATAAAATGTATATCTAAAATGTAGTAATACATTTTATAATTTCCTTTTATATCTTTATAAAATATTTCGGGTCAGTGGGTTTTTTAACCTAAGGGTGGGTGCAGCAAGTAAGATTCATTTAAAACTTCAAGCAAAAATAAATAAATTGTGGCAGAATCTTTCTCACTTCCTAATCTTTGTTTATATGTAGTTTTTTATTTTTTAGGTAACCCTAACAGCAGAAACGGATTGCCGTTATGTGTCTTGGAGGAGAAAGAAATTATATTTGCTCTTTGCTCAGCATCGTTATATCTCCCGCCTGTTTTCAGTTTTAATTGGTAGTGACATTGCAGATAAACTCTATGCCTTGAATGACAGGGTATATATAGGAAAAAGATATCACTATGATATTCGGTTACCCAACTTCTATCAAATGTCAAGCCCAGAAATACCCAGATCACCGCTGACAGAACATTTTCGGAATTCCAGACTGTGTTGTGATAAATGACTTCAAAGCCTGAAGTTTTATAATTATAAAAGAGACTCTGTTTATCATTCCCCAAATGAAATAGCAAAATATAGAAAATTGAGCTCACTAATATTTTTATAAATCAAACTCAGAGGCAAGACGCCATTGTCAGCTGTTTTATTCTCTCAACTTCTGCATTGTGAATAAATTTTACAAAAATTTCTTGTGCTTCTTATTGGGTTTTTTTTTT